AAGAGGAAGGATGGCATCGTAAATGTTTGTAAATTTTAGTGATGGAGTTAAGTCATAATTTAAAGCTAGAAAATAATTAATTCTTAATATTGTTACGATATTACTTAAATTACGATATTATTTAAAACTGCGAGCACAAAAATTATTTACAATTCGCACTGTTCCATCCTTTAAAAAAATAACGAATAATAACAAAAATTTATAAGATGATATTCAGTTAAACAATAAAGATTTAAGAGAGTTGACTGACATACCTTCATATGTAAACAGAATCTTTGTTTAAATATTAAATTTCAAAAAAAGTATTAGCATGAATCTAAATTCTTTTATTCTATATCTAATATGGTTTACAAACCTCTAACATTGCATTTCCATAACTTCCAATTTGCTCTGAATAAGTTCTCTGATCACTTATTGTATTATTAAAAATACTTGTCCAGTGATTTTTGAAATGAGTCTCTCGTAATTGTACCATGCCAGCAATTATCATGCAATAAAAAGCCAGAACCTTGACCGTAGAAATTGTCAAATTTATTCCGGCTGCTAATCTTCTAGAATAGATGTGATACGCGGTAATCATAAATAAAAATGCAACTGCAATAAAGCGAATTATACTGAAAATTTCAAATAGGAACATTAAATTTAAATCTGTGAATGTAAATAAAACTTAATATTCAAATCATTACTTACAGAAAGTCTTTGCTAAAATATCCGCCTGGATTTAAATATTCAGACGGACGATTTTCTTCGTCTTCTCCTCGAATTGCATAAACAAAATATAATGAAGCGGCATAAACGTCGGCAATAATTGCTGTAGGTCGCATTACGCTTTTGTAATTGATTAGATTAATATTTACATAATTTATATGCACATACATTCTACTTAAATACGTACAATATTATAATAAAAATAAAGGTCTGGATAATCTTGATAATAGATCTTTGGTGATAAAAAGCTTCGTCGATATAACGAAATTTACCTCCTCTAGGCAACATAATATCTAACTGTGAAATTAAATGAAGAAAATATATAGTTTAATTTACATTCGATCCAAATTCTGGCATATTATTAATTACCTCACGATAAATCATAATACCAAGAAAACTAATAACTCCTCCAATAATCCAAAATATTAAAGCAACACCCGGAGATTTAGTTAGTCTCCACACATCACCAGGAAGCACAAAAATTCCTGTTTAGATACAAAAAGTAATAAATAATTTTGCATATAACAAATGTTCTATAGATCTTTTTAACACCACATACCACATCCAATCATAGCATTTAATCTTTTTTTCGGATTGCTTCGGTACTTGTAATCGTCGTAGTTCTTGTAATCGTCGTAGTCATGTGAAATTGATAAACCGCCATCGTAATCCGGCCCTGATTCTGTAATCTCATTCATTACGAAGATTTACCGGTGCAAGTCAAATTATTATATTAAGCTATGAAATGAAATGGCCTGAAGCATTGATTAATGGTAAATTAAATTAGCATTAGGATTTAACAATAATTTTCGAACTAGAGTTGAAAGATATAGAGCTCGAAATATGCTTTATATGGATACCAAAAAATAGTACTTTGTATTATAGTTTTCCGGTATAAATTATTTGTGTATCAACTTTAAACAATAATTCGTACGTACGTACGCACTTTTAATGTTTCACCTACAGTCTTGTACGCATATGTACTGGTGACACAAAACGAAAGAAAAAGAATTTGTGGCAAAATAATTACAGTAGGTCACATCCATTAGCTTTGTGAATACGATTTATGCAGTACAAGACTCATAGGAAGATTTATTCTTAAAAAGGAAAACATGTAAGAAAAAGAGCTATATAGAAAGTTTTATTGGAGCAATAGGACTCCATGACTGAAAAAGATCTTTAACTCTCATCTGTTTCAACATGTTAGGCCAGACCAACTTAATTCGGTGGTTTACATTACCCCCCTCCCTCTTCGTAAAAAAAAATATTGGGATATATATATGATTTTGGCCGGAGAACATCATGTCGGGCGGAATTACGGAATTAAGATTAGGATCCAAAAAATTCCAAAGAGAAAATGAATGAACATAAAAGACGAGCAAGGTCAGGCCAAAAATCTCCGATTGAAAAAATTTTTAATAAAATTTACTATGCCGTTCCGTTTTTCACCTTTTCACCTCCCGCCCCCTCTTTTGAGAGAGGCACGTAATGTAAGCCGCCGAATTAAATTGTTCCGGCCTTAATGTAGTAATAAATTTTCAAAAGCAAGTTAATACTAAAGACTCGACTAACTTTGTTATCCGACATGTCTGACGTAAACACTGAATGATTTCCGCGTAACTTATTAGGTCATCTCCTAATTAAATACGTACCAGGCACCCGATTTGTATTAAACCTAGCTGCCGCACAAAAAATGCGCGGATTGGGCCCGCATTACATAATTTTGGCCGGAATTAACTTTTTA